TTGGCTTTGACCTCAGCAGATGGTGTTGCTGCAGCTCGGTGAACAGATGCACAAGTCCAGGGCACGCGCCCGTGGTTGGGTGGATTGGGAGGGGCTGCCTGCCCTCTGGCTTCTCGCTGGTGCACATGCACTGAGAGGGGGCATGAGGGGGCACCGAGGACAGCACTCCCAACAAAAGCCCTACAAAGCGGGGATCACCAGTTCCCAGAGAAAACCGAGGCTCAGAAAGAGTCCGTGACTCGTCTAAGGCCACGTGGCTAGTAAGAGACTGCGCTTAGATTTGAACTCAGTTCTGTGTGGCTCTGAAGTCCACATTTTAGTGTGGATGGTGGAGAGTGGGGTGCCACCCCCATGCTCCAACAGTGCTGCCTGAATTCCTTGACCCTTCTGGGCCTTGCTTTTCTCAATTGAGCGACCAAGTAAAGGAATAACACTTACCCTGTAGGACTTCAGTGCGCGTGCGGGGAACAGCCTGGAGTGGCGTTTGCACGTAGCAGGTAGTGAGCACTCACTGACCTCCCCTTTTTAATCATGGAGAAAGCTCACAGGCCTTGGTGATGGGGGGGCCCATCAGAGCCCACCTAGCTGCTCCCACACTGCCCACCCCCAGCCTCACTGACCCCCTCTGTGTTCCTCCGCTTTCTCTTCCCCCAGCTGCCTGGAAGCTCTTTCCCAGCCTCTGCCTCTCGCTCTCTCCCCTCCTTCCCGTCTCTGATTAATGTCACCTGCTCAGTGAGGCCCTTCCTGGGACTCCTTTTGAAAATGGCAACCCTGCCTCACCTGTGTTCTCTAAGCCCTGACCGTGCTTGGTCTTTCTAGCATCTTCACCACACAGCTGCCTCTATTTTCTACTCCTACAGCCTATGTCTTGTTCATTTCACCCTGTGGAATGCTGACTCCTAAGAAACAGGACTGATTTTTGTCTTTCTTTCTAGCTCTATCCCCAGTGGTTCTCCACAGCAGGACACTTTGCCTTCCAGGGGATTTTCGGCAATCGCTGGAGACATTTTTGGTTGTCAGAATGAGTTGGGGTGGCCCAGCACAGTGGCTCACACCTGTGAACCCAGCACTTTAGGAGGCGGAGGCACGTGGATCATTTGAGGCCAGGAGGTCAAGACCAGACTGACCAACATGGGGAAACCCCATCTTTACTAAAAATATAAAAATTAGCTGAGCGTGGTGGCCCATGCCTGTAATCCCAGCTACTCAGGAGGCTGCAGCAGGAGGTTCGCTTGAGCCTGGGAAGCAGAGGTTGCAGTGAGCCAGGATCGTGCCGGGATCACAGAGTGAGACTCCATCTCAAAAATAAATAAATAAATAAATAATAAAAATAAAAAGAGTAAGTGGGGGCCTGGGATGCTACTGGTATCTCATGGATAGAGACCAGCCATGTTACAGAGCATCCTACACCACCTAGGACAGCCTCTCCTGCACCAAACAAAACAATAAGGCAGCCCCAAATGCCAATCATACCATAGTCATAGCCCCGTTACTTAGAACAGCAGCCGGCACATGCACAGCAGGTGCTCAACAAATGCTCATTCTGGAAGAATGAGGAGCTGCTATCATCATTTTATCATCACTAAGAACAGATGTGGTTGAGAATCATCCTTAAGAATGGTTGCTTCTTGGGTGCTCATGGCCAATAGGTCATACTGGTGACTTAAAACATCTTGCTTTTGGTCCAGGCTCTGCCCTCAGGAGCATCCAGAAAAGGCTGCAAACTGCTCATTGCTGGGGCTTCACCAGCCAGGACCAGTCCACGTCATCAAGCCCCCTGAGCACCCCGGTGATACCAGCCTGCTCCTCCCCACAGGGAGCCTGGCCATGGGCTGCTGTGGGCAGGGACCCCCAGTCCTCACCTCTCCATCCCCACTTCCACTTGCCCCACATTAGAAAACTCAGGACCTTGTCCTAGTTGAGCAAGGAATCACCTCCACCAGGCTTTTCAGGGTGATCACAGTCGAACCCTGCTCCCCCAGGCCTCTCTCAGCCCAGGAGACTAGTGGGTCTGAGTGAATGATGCCATTTTTGCTTCTTTCAAGAAAGGGCAAGAGGAGTGACAGGGGAATTTTCAGGGAGACACAGGCAGGCAGGGGATACTCTGTTATTTTGCTGACCTAACAAATTACCATTGACAATTTTAAACAGCCAGCTTGACCAGGCCAGCCTCTCCTAATGCAGAGGGCACCATCCATAGAACACACGAAACACCACGTGGCGTGTTCTGAGCAGAGGGCAGAGCAGCATGAAAAGAAAGGAGGCTTTTGCATCAGAGCCTATTTCACCTAACAGACTGCCAGAACCCAACCCAGCTGCAGGCCTGCCACCCACCCTGTATTCACACCGACAATTCCCACTTGAGATTCAGAACTTTCCCTGCCTGAAGCCTGCCCCTTCCCCCTTCCCCCTGGTCCCAACCCTCTCCTTCTCCCTGGGGCCTTCTTGAGCTCAGCAGCTGGGCCTGTCTCTGCAGAACTGTGAGGCTGGCAAAGTACAATCTTCTCTCTCCTACATTCCCCGAGCTTCTCTTTCCCTCCTCTCCGTTCTGCCTTTTCTTTGTCTCCTCTCCAAGGTCCTGAAAGCTTCTAAAAAAGTGATGGGTGCTAAGGTTTAGCAACTGACATAAGACAGACTATAAACCACAGGAATGAATTTCTAATGGTGGGATATTAGGCATCAGATGGCTAGGTTCGGGGTAACAGGATGATACTTGGTGGGCAGGGGCTTTCCTGGTGCCCCTGAAGTCACCAGTAGCTGGTCCCAATTCTGCCAGGCGGTAGGACTGGCCCAAAATTCAGAATAAGATGACAGAGCAGGCACATGCGAAGTGTCAATGAGCCAGGAGGCTGGGTGGGGCAGGCCCAGGACACCAATGACTGGGGGCGGAAGCTGCAGACAGAAGCGCCAGCTGCCCACAGAGGCAGGGCTTGCTGGAGACTGGATTACATCCTCCATCCTCACTTTTTGGGAATCCAAACTCAATCTGTGAGCTAACCTGCTACTAAAATTCACACCATTTCCCCCACCTCTAAGGATGGCATGAGGGAGCCTAGCTACACAGCCTATTCCCTGAAGTCCAATGTCAGAGAGTCAGGCTGGGGGCTGGAGAGATCAGAAGCCACAACACCAGCTCCAAACCATCTCCAGTAAAATGGACACTGTCATTGATGACCTTACTTGATTTTCAAAACACCCCACCAGACCCATCTTACAGGTGAGGAAGCTGAGCCTCCAAGCGTTCTGTAAGTTGGCCAGTGTCACACAGTCAGGGACCTAGCTGGGTTGGGAGTCCACATTTTCCACAACAACCTAAGGCCAGTATCTTCCAAACAAGCGTGAACAATTCAGCCAGTCTCCCCCTGCACCAAGTCACAGAGACCCAGCTTACAAGCCTGAGGATGGCTGAGCTCCCACAAGCCTGCTGTTGGCTTGCGGGGTCTGGGGTGCAACCAGCCAGGATGCTGGGGTTCTCACATCACCAACAGCCCCAGCCAAGGCAGGGCCACCTCCCTATCTCCCGTTGAACTGGACTGCCCAGCCCCTCAGCACATCCACTGCCTTCCAAATGACAAGGGGTGGGGAGGTCTCAGGCAGAAGCACAGATTTCACCCTGTTAGGGACCCTGGGGACCTGGCCCTGAGATGGGTGTCCCCTAGCTACCTCCAGGGGCTGCATTAGCAGAGAAGTGAGGCAGAGCTAGGGCTTCTCAGGCAGGCAGGAGACTTCAGCATGAGGGGCTGGCCACAGGGTCTGCAGAGAGGTGCCACCGACCTGACGCTGAGATGTGTGTGGTCCTGAGATACCCTGAAACCAGGACATCAGAGCCAGTCCAGGTCCCACACCCACGCCCAGGCAACCCTGGCTGTTCATTGATCAAGCCCCAGTGTTTGTGGAGATGAGGGAAATGGGTGTGAGGTGGCTGGGAGGGGAAGCCCCATCTTGTATTCCCCAGGACGGATGTGGAGCAGAAGCCAGTCTCGGTGACAGCTTGTATGTGACATCTGTCAAATCGAGACAGCTTCCACTTGGGGATCCTGTCCTGGGTCCTGCTCTAACCCAGTCACTGATAATCCAGTGCAAAGTGGGAGAATCCCCTTCCTTTCTGGGAACAAGGGCTTCCTCAATCACGGGTGTGCCTGGCAGGTGCCAGGGGGTAGCCCCTGGGGCAGCCTTGGAGGAGGTAGTCAGAAGATAAGCTTCTTTCCTCCCCAACCAGGCTCCTGGAATTATTTCTCAAATCATTTTCAGTCCTAGGAAGTGATAATTTGATTTCACTTTAACATTTTTAACAAGCTGCATCTTCATCAACTGCCAAATTAGGATGAGAGCAAAGAGATGGGGTAATCACAATAAGAAGCTTTGGAGTGGTTGGGGAAATCCGAATCTGGGGTGTGCCTGTGGGGTGGACACCTCACACCCAGCACCTGCTGCGGGTCCCCATCACACCACCCTGATCACCCCCACCTCTGCTCAGTGGCTCCCGGCAGGGACACCTCCTCAGGAGAAGGAAGTCCCGGGTCCCACAAGCTGGAGAAATGAGGCCACTCTCCCTGCTGTGATGAGCCGGGAGTTGGACCCGCCGGAGGCCGACAGCCCAGCGCAACAGGTGTTGGTGGGCTTACTCCTTCCTGCCTTATCCGATTAATTCTGCCAGCCCCGCTCAAGTCCGTCGTGAAAAGTCTGCCCTCAGCTTTGGCGTGGGTAAACTGCCGAGAAGCCACTGCAAAGAGGGGGCGTCATCATCTCCCTCGACACACCCTTGGGACAGAGAGATGGACAGACAGACAGACACACACGCACACGCGCACAAACTGCCCGCGCTCCCCACCACCCTGCCCCTCCAGGGTGCGCGATCGCGGGGGCTCTCCGGCCCCGGCCCCTGGCTGGGCGGTGGTGGGGGCGCAGCCCGGCGCTGCGGCCCAGTACCGGCGGGAGACCGTCCCCCAGGGACCCCCAGGATGGAGGAGCTGGTCTCTCCCGGTGTTCCCGGCACTTACCTCGCTGGAGCGGCCGCGATCCCCGACCCGGGTCCAGTGTCCCTTGCCGGCTGGGTGTGCGGGGCGGGAGGTACGGCGCTAGGGTGCCGGGGACGCCCGTCCCGTCCGGCCAGCCCAAACCGCTCCGCGCCAGTGACCGTGGCCGCCTCCGCCGCCGCAGCTCGCGCCCCGGACCCCGAGAGGGAAGGGCGGGCAGGGGGCGGGGCCCGGGGCGGGGCCTCCCCACCCCTGCACTGCCAGCTGCCGGCGGGGTTTGTGCCCCAGAGGATGAGGTCTCCCAGTCCGGGAGGTGAGCACCTCTGGGGGAAGCACCCTAGTGGGGGTGGCAGGTCAAGAGTTGGGGGCTGGCGTGGGAGAGGAGAGGCGTTCAGAGGCCGAATCGGGCTGGGAGGCCCTGCCTGGAGTCAGACCTTCAAATTCCAGCTGCTAGGACTGCTGCCTCTGCTGTTGCTGCTGCTTTTAAATAAGGATGATGATGACGATGATGACAACAGAACAATGCCAGCTAGTATTTATTGAGCACTTGCTAGTGTAAGCGTTCAATGACCTGTATTAAGTCATTGAATTCTCACACAAATCCCATTTTACAGATGAGAAAACTGAGGCACAGGGTGATTAAGTGAGGAGTCAGAGGACAAACAGCTGGAAAACGACAGAGCCAGGATTGCAGCTCAGGCCTATCTAGCTGCAAAATCCAAGCCTTCAAAGCCCCACTATGCCTTACGCAATGCATTTGCCCCTCTAATCTGTAAAATGGAAATGTATGTCCAGTAAAAGGTGGCAACCAACATGTAAATATTTCTTCCTTCTTTGGCTTCCAACTTCTTCTTTAGTCACTGGGTCCTGGACACCCAGTAGGTGCCCCAGAGATATTTGTTAATCTGGGACTAATTTGAAAGGGGCAGCTGGAGCCAGTATGGCCAGCCAGGTTGGATGGTGAACCCAAGGGCGAACTCTTCCTGGCTTGTGCAGCCACACGTCTTTACTGCTTTGAAAAGGCCTGGCCGCTATCTTTGTCCGGCACACTTGTGCAGACACTCACAGACCAGCAGCTTCCCTCAAAGGCCTGTAACATCCCTGCAGACCATGAGGGGTCAAAGATGTGGAGTGTGGAAATATTTGGGGGCAAATATAATGAGACATCAGCAGCGAACATATTTGTTTAAAACTGTAGGGCAAAAGCCCTTATGGAAGCGTCTATGTTGCTGAGGTCTCCTCACATGGAGGACTTTGTCACATGTGAATGGGGCCATGTGGAGCTGGGACAACTGAAGGTTTATGGAAAGGATACACCAGGTGTCTATTCACAGTATTTTAAGCCTATTCAGTTTCCAGCTCTTTCTCCCTTTTCCCACCTACCCCAAGAGTGCTCTTCTCCATCCCCCAGAACACCCTGATGGAAAAGCCTCACCCTATATGACAGGTGACCACATCTCCCACCAGATTGAGTGCCCCCATATCTCAAATTCACAACCCCTATTATCCTCAGACTCTTCCAAATGTGCTAGTTCCTTCTGCATGGATTGCCCTACACCCTACATGGAAAACTCCTATACATCCTTCAAGACCTTATTCAGTTTGCTCCCTTTGACCCAGGAATGGATTTCTTCTTCATCTCTGGGCCCAGGAGCCTCTTGCACAGCTCTCACCAGTATGGCAATGATGAATTTTTACTGTCAATCTCCCTAACTATGCTGGGAGCCCTTTAAAAGGAGGTCTGACGCATAGTAGGCACATAGTATTTGCTCAGTGAATGACTGGAAGTTGGACACATGTCTCCAAGATTAAAGCTGTCAAGGAGAAAACCACCAAAAAAAAAACCTCAGAGGGAGCTGGATCAATGAAATGGAAAGATGAAAACAGGCAAAACGCCCAGGAGATGTGCCTTTCTCGAGGTCTGCAGTTCGTATTCCCGGCAAAGGCCAGAGAGGCTGGCCTGGGATCCATGCCCTGTGGGTCACCGCTTCGGGCCGTCGCCATGTCCTCCAGCCACTGAAGAGTATGTGCATGGAGTAGGGGGAGCAGACTGCCTGGTGTCAGAGAAGGGGTGGGGGGGAGAGGGGATGTCCTCCCTTGTGGGCTAATTAAGGAATCCCAGAATGTCCACTTGCTCCCTGGGTAGGCCCCCTTTTTGATCTGTGCAACCCTATTCTCTGGATCATCTTGCAATTCTTATGAAGAAATAACAGATCAATTGCCTGCAGAAGACACCCTTTAAAAGGGAAGCTAGTGTCCAGGGGTGCTCACAGCCTCCTTCCCAGTCATTCTGCCCAAGGCAAGTGGGAAAGTCCCCACAACATGAGTGGTTGAAAGAACAGCAATTTGGATCTGATGGAATGAGGTCTTCAATATAACTCTGCCCCTAACTAGCTGTGTGACCTTGGACAAGTTACTTAACCTCTCTGAGCTTTTGTTCACTTCTCTATAACCAAAGCTGGCTTCATGGGTCTGAACACCCTGCTCTTAGGAAGGTTCTGTGCCTGGTTTGATGATCTGTTTTTGCCATCTCAAAATTTTTAATCAGTTTTCAACAAGGGGCTACATCTTAATTGTTTCACCGGACCCACAAAATTGTGTCTCTGGTGCTGGTGATAACACCAACCTCACTGGGTTGTGACAGTGAGATGCGTTTGCGCAAGGTCTGTCACACAGGGAGCTCTCAGCAAAAGTTAATTTCCCTCCCTCTGATCTGACTGTAAATGATAAATAGAAATTCACCAGGTAGATAGAGGGCTGGGAAGGGAGTTTCAGGCAAAGGGGTCATCCTGGGAAAAGGCCTGAAAAGATCAAATTACATTCAGGGAAAGGGAAACGGTCTGAGATAGGGTGCGCATGGGAAACGGGGGAGAAAAAACGAGAGACAACTGGAACCACAGTGGGTGAGGCCTTCCAGTTATTTCAAGGAGCTCAGCCCCCAGGTCCTCAGGTCTGTGATCAGGGACCCTCGGAAGTGAAGGTGGGTGAGCAATGCCAACAACTGTGTCCCACAGTGGGGCTGCAGACTGGTTCAGATAATGAGACAGGCAGTGGGTGACGTGGGCGGGAGCCCTGCTCGGAGGCTGCCAATACGGTGCGTTTGAAACGCTCACTGTAGACATAATGGGAAAATGCTGTAGGTGTAAAAGCCAACAGCTGTGCCTGGGGACTTGGGGACTCCGGGCCTGATGAATAATGGAGCGGCCCTTCCTCCTCAGGTCTCTTTTTCTATCCTTTTAATAATTCATGAATTTCCCATTGGTTGGGGAGTTTCATAAAACCTCAGCTTTCTCTCTGAATCCTGGGCCAATCTGAACAAATCTGATGGCTTCATGCATTAGGTCTTAATGAGAAACACACATACATGGGCACATTCTTTGCAGAAGGCGCCTGTGTAGATGACAAGGAAAAGCCCCAGTTATGTCTGGGAGGAGGAAATGTCTTCCAGCCAAGCAGCCTCTTTCTGGTCCCTTGGGGGTGGAGGTGGTGACATGTGTCATTTCCAGGTGGAAGCTTTCAGAGTCACTGAGTGCTTTGCCATGCTCTTCTCCCTGCCTGTGGGATTATGGAGACAGGTGTCAAGATGGGACTCTGTCACTCTGAACTCCCACATGATGACAAGGAGTAGAGATTCCTTACTGACCTCTGGCAGCCACATAGCATGAACTGTGTGTACCTTCTAGTATACACGGACAGGTTTATTTAAGCAAATGAATGCTGCTCCTAGTGTGGAGCAGAAATGGAATCCCAAACTCCAGATCTAAGCGGTCATCAACATTGAGGGATGATCAATGCCAGACCAATCAATTCCAGACCCATCAAGGCACCTTCAATCATGTTGGGGATGGAGAAGACCAGAGCTTCTCAGCAGATCCAGGACAAGTTTGACATGGGTAGTATCTGAAGATGTGTGGGGTGTGTGTATGTGTGCATGTCAGGAGGTTGGGGGAGAGGGAAGAGGGCCCCATGAAGTTGGGAGGGGGGGTAGGCAGAAAAACCTGGTCAAGGCCAGAGCAAGAAGAACTGAGCTCACTGTGGAGCTTCCCTGATGGAGGATTGGCTAATAATAATCATATCAATCCCCACTACAGCTAATATCAATTACATGCCACACACTCTGCTAAGTGCTTACCACGTGTTAAGACTTTTAGTTTTCACAACAATCCTCTGAGCTAGGACAATTGCTAGCCCCTATTTCCAGATAAGGATGTGGAGGAATAAAGAGGTAATTTGTCCTGCATATGGCCAAACTCTAGTGCTCGAAGGAGAATGGCACATTGAGGCTCCATCCACATCAGTATCACTCATGCCGTGAGTGGGAATCTTTAGGCCAGCTGTCAGGGCTCAAGCATGCAAGAGCTGGTGTCAGCATGGGACCCAGGGAGCTGTGTCAGAGTCATGTAGTCTGGAAGACTGGGCAAACAGGGAAGGCGGAGGTGCCAGTCGCTGGCAAGGAGGCACAAGGAATACTGTGCTTCAGAAAGCAAGAGGCGGATGGATTGTCCATTCTGCTTCATGCAGGAGGCTGGGTCACTAAATGGCACTTCCTGTCCCAGCTGGTTGGTGGGGACCTAGAAGGTGGGGCTGTGCTTTTGGGTGCGCTAAACCCCCAGGTGAGATTGTTCACTCACCTGCTCCTCCTTATTCATGGACTCAGTCCTGTGTTTCCCTCTTTCTCCTAGACTTGACTTTGTGGGTGGGGATGGGGTGGAGTCTGCAGGGACATTGGCCCTACCTCTCCCTTCCCCCCTCACTCAGCCCTCTCCACATCCTTCCTTTTTCCACCACCTCTCAGTTCAGTCTGAGCTATTCCCCACAGCCCTCCCAGCTAGCATCCCTCTTCTCTCCAGAGCCCACTAGGGGCCTTATCAAGTCTCAAATGTGGCTTCCTAAGAACCACATTTGTTCCTCATTGAGTGTGCAGTCTCCTGTTCTGGATGCATCAGAGTGTGAAGCCTGGGAGAGTTCACACAGCCATCCGCGTCCCTGCCGGATCACCGAGCAGCCGCTCGGATTCCCACTGGCTGTCCTCCCAGCTGCCCTCCCGGCTCCCCTAAGACCAGCTGTTCATCCTCTGCTTTCATCATTTGTCCCCTTAGTAACTGGATGATTGCTTATAAAACAGTTCCAAGGACAGGGCGTCCATCAACAAAATGAAGACTCCTCTCCATTTTG